ACCAAATAAAACAACTTTCAGATTGTCGCAAACAATTTTAGTTGTTTAAAGAATCGTAACTTTAGATTTACGGACAAGTCAATCGTATTTCAGATTACGGATGCTTCTCCGTAGCTTTTAATGAGAAGCTCTACGTTTTTTTACGGAACGTTTTTACCGTGCACACTTGTTAGAAAGATATAAACTTTCTTGCCTAAACCTCTCGGACCGAGTCAAGAGCATTTCAGTATTGCAGCGAGAGGTTCCGACAATGAGTGCATCGCTCTAAAAAGTGCTTCGGCTGCATATGCAGTTAAACCAAGCAATCGTACATCAATCGCCGTACTTCAGTTCTACTCACCTGCCATGCACAGTAGTTTCGCGCCGTAGAATCCTCCTTTCGTTGGAGCGTCTCCGGCCCAGTAGTACACCTTGTCGTCTTCAACTACACCGCTAAAGTGCATTACATTGTCGGAACTCACAACAGGCTCGGTCTTGTCGAGTAGAAATTCTACTAAAACATAAGACATCGTAGAGCCCGGGCAGGATCGACAGGTTGGAGCAAGCCGGCAAACAAAACGAGTCGAAAGCGATCGTGCATGAAAGCTCGGCGAAGCCTCCATGGGCGAAGCGAAGTGCGAAGTGTCGCGTTCGACGCTTCGGCCGCTTCGGCGGCTTCGGCGGGCTTCTGATCAAGGTTGTCGGTCGGTTGCGTGTCACATCTCTAACGTCAGCGGTTTTATGGGCTCACGTCCCGAAATCGTTTTCTCGTGCATAGATTACTTTTCGTATTCATAGATTTGACGAAATAGTGGTATCCGAACGAACTTTACGTCCTTTGACCGTACTTCTGTCTGCACGTCAAAGCTTTCTGACGTACAGTCAGAGACAATCGATGTACAGTCAGAATCACCACCAGGACATCCTGATGGCATTTCGCGGCGGCCGACTGCCACCAGGAAACCATGAGAAAGCCGACAAGCGGGGTCTGACTGGAGTTTGACTGTCGGTCAGAGTAACTTGTTGTCCAATCAGTCATGCTTGACGTACAGTCAGGCACAGTCAGCGGTCCACTAGAAAACATTGACTGCCAAACAGCGTTACATTGATGGATTTTTCCTTCGGGATATGCCACCGCTTAGGAAACTCGATTTGACCATTCGTTTTCATACGAGATGCTTTGGCTGCAAATGCAGTTAAGCCTTCAGCATGTTATGCAAAGCACTCGTACATCACTCGCCGTACTTCAGTTCTACTCACCTGCCATGTAGAGTACTTTCGCGCCGTAGAACGATCCGTTTGTTCGCGCGTCTCCGGCCCAGTAGACCTGGTACACCTTGTCGTCTTCAACTACACCGCTAAAGTCCCTTACATCGTCGGAACTCACAACAGGCTAGGTCTTGTCGAGTAGAAATTCTACTAAAACATAAGACATTGTAGAGCCCGGGCAGGATTGACAGGTTGGAACAAGCGGGCAAGCAAAACGAGTCGAGAGCGATCGTTCATGAAAGCTCGGAGAAGCCTCTATGGGCGAAGCGAAGTCAGCGAAGCGGCGTGTTCGGCGGGCTTCTGATCAAGGTTGTCGGTCGGCTGCGTGTCATATCTCTAATATCAGCGGTTTTATGGGCTCACGTCCCGAAATCGTTTTCTTGCGGATAGATTATTTTTCGTATTCATAGATTTGACGAAATAGTGGTATCCGAACGAACTTTACGTCCTTTTACCGTATGTCTGTCTGGACGTCAAAGCTTTTTGACGCACAGTCAGAGCCAATCGGGGTACAATCAGAATTGCCATCAAGACATCTTGATGGCATTTCGCGGCGGTCGACGGCCACCAGGAAACCATCAGAAAGCCGACAACTGGAGTCTGACTGGAGTTTGACTGTCGGTCAGAGTAACTTGTTGGCCAATCAGACATGCTTGACGTACAGTCAGGCACAGTCAGCGGTCCACTAGAAAACATTGACTGCCAAACAGGGTTACTTTGATGATTTTTTCTTCGGGTACATACATACATACATACATACATACATACATACATACATACATGCATACATACATACATACAAACATACATACACACATACATACATACATACCCGAAGGAAAAATCCATCAATGTAACCCTGTTTGGCAGTCAATGTTTTATAGTGGACCGCCGACTGTGCCTGACTACGTCAAGCATGTCCGATTGGCCAACAAGTTACTCTGACCGACAGCCAAACTCCAGTCAGACTGCACTTGTCGGCTTTCTGATGGTTTACTGGTGGCAGTCGGCCGCCGTGAAATGCCATCAAGATGTCTTGGTGGCGATTCTGATTGTACATCGACTGTCTCTGACTGTACGTCAAAAAGCTCTGATGTGCAGACAGACGTACGGTCAAAGGACGTAAAGTTCGTTCGGATACCACTATTTCGTCAAATCTATGAATACAAAAAATAATCTATGCACAAGAAAACGATTTCGGGATGTGAGCCCATAAAACCTCTGATGTTAGAGATATCACACGCAGCCGACCGACAACCTTGATCAGAAGCCCGCCGAAACGCCGCCGAACACGCCACTTCGCTTCGCCCTTAGAGGCTTCGCCGCTTCGCCGAGCTTTCATGAACGATCGCTCTCGACTCGTTTTGTTTGCCCGGTTGCTCCAACCTGTCGATTCTGCCCGGGCTCTACAATGTCTTATGTTTTAGTAGAATTTCTACTCGACAAGACCAAGCGTGTTGTGAGTTCCGACGATGTAAGGGACTTTAGCGGTGTAGTTGAAGACGACAAGGTGTACCAGGTCTACTGGGCCGGAGACGCGCGAACAAAAGGATCGTTCTACGACGCGAAAGTACTCTACATGGCAGGTGAGTAGAACTGAAGTACGGCGAGTGATGAACGAGTGCTTTACATAACATGCTGAAGGCTTAACTGCATTTGCAGCCGCAGGATTTCGTATCAAACAGATTGTCAAATCGAGTTTCCCAAGTGGTGGCATAGCATTGGGGTTAAGGTGTCCGGTTTGTACGCAAGTGGTCGCGGGTTCGATTCGCGGTGCTCCCGCTTTTTTTTTTCTTTTTTTTTTTCCTCGAGCATTTTGTTTATTGAGGCATTTGGCGATATTTATGAGTGCGTATAGCTTCACTCTTATATAAATGCTGCCCTTGTTCATGAAATTCCATTGGCAGTGGCAGTCAGACGTCACCTGATGGACCATCAGATGACATCTGATGGTCCATAACGTTCCACCAAGGCTGCTGACTGGCAGTCAGTTGTCCAAATTACATATCTTGATGGAATTTTCAATAGGGTAAATGCATACATACATACATACATACATACATACATACATACACACACACACACACACACACTCAAAGGGACAAGTGAATTATTTTTCGTAAAACCTGTGTTAACTCGTCTTCAAGCTTGTTTAAGCTCATTGCGCTTAAACACACAAAAATAATATAATTATTTTACTACAAACCTTATCAACTAACGACCTTCTTACTAACACCGTTTTGTTTTTTATTCGAACAACATTTTATGGGAACACTGCTGAAATGTTTTTTTTTTTTATTCTGAGGAGTAAAAAGAAATTCGTCATACAATGCTTTAATTGAGATGCGTGCTCAAAGTAGAGGCATTACATTCCTCTGAAATATTACTTTTCAACACTAGGGTGGGCAGAAATTCAAGTTTTTATATAAGGCCCGACACAAAAATATTTCGTGCCTGGAACCAGAACGCAGCTGTTTTTGGGGTTTCAATTAGTAATATTTATTAATAAAATATTTCCGTATATCTGCTCTTTCTACAAATATAGCAACGACTGCATATCCGGTAATCTAAATTTCAACAATACTTTGCTCGAGGCGAATGTCACTGGATCTTGAGGATGAAAATCACATACGACTTTCCGCATTACGCTGGGCAAGTTGTTCAACCAAACAATTATCATATATATTCTTTAAAAATAAACACAAAGCAACATCAAATTGAAAAAAAAAATTAAAAATCAAAAACAAAATACTTTGCATTATTGTCGTGGTTCAAGTGAGATTAAGTAAATATATAAAATGGAGCCTACATGCGATTTTGTGCTGTTCAGGTAGAAATTAAAAAACGGTCACTTGCTCTCATTGTCTAATTATGAAAAAATGTTTACACAACTGTTTAGCAAACTCTCTTTACAGCTACCTGACAAGCAAGCACACTTAGGTTGTTTCATGTTCACCAGCACTCCGCTTACTGGAAACAAAACAAAACTTTATAAATTATAGTGTCACCCAAGCATCGCAAAATGGCACAATCGTTGGACCAACACCGGCCGGTTATTGGCCACTATTGGCGCCGACATTGGACTGGCGTTACATTTCGCGAAAGTTGAACCCAGTTCAATATTACACCGTGCACTGGTTATAACGTTGAACCTCTATGAAGTCAATATTTAAGCCAGCAAGTGCCTCATACCAGACTTTATACGGCACACTCACGCAGCCCCTATAACATACGTTTCAAAGAGCAATTCCAGCGATTCTTCTCTAGTACACGCTAACCTCACAACTTTCTGGTATAAGGCTAGAGTGGACGAGGATTTCAATATCTTTTCTAATTTGTACAATTTGAAATGCAGTTGAGTGTTTTTTTTTGTGGTAGTGCTTCAATCGATGTCCATCCGATCTAGTTAATAACCTTCATTTAAATATATTACTAATTATTTGATAATATTGTATTATTCCTGCATGGAATGACCTCTAGTTACAGCAGTTTTGCCTTACAGTATTAAATATTTTTCAACCTGCTTCTCGAATAGTACTTTGCAAAACAATATCGAAACGTTCTAAGCGAAATTATAATGACATGAAGAGCTCACTAAATCAAAAGGCATGGAACTCAATACTACGAGTATAGAGGTTTTCGTTTAAATTTAATTAGGCTTTGTTTTACAAATCTTGTACTAATGTAAATAATGGTGCGTAAAATTTTTGAAATATATAGATACCTTAATAAATCCCGAGTTCCTCTTCCAGGTCAAAAATGCCGTCGCCAAGGTCCTAAGCTCAGACTTGCTAAGTGTAAATATTGGCGGTGACCACACTATGTCTATTGGAACCGTTATTGCTCACGCGATGGCCGTGGATTCCAACATCTCTCTCCTTTGGGTTGACGCCCACAGCGACATTAATACACCTCGGTCCACTCCAAGTGGTAAGATGCATCTTATTATAAAATGAACAAGTGAATTCCTGCAGACTTTTACATAAAATATTAAGGTTCTTTTTTAGTGCACCTTTGCTACATCATGGTTTTTTTCGCATTAACAATATCGAATATTAAACAAACGCTTCTGAAACGCCAAACAAGGTATTTTCGAACTTGCGTTGAGTTCCGAGGTTAAGTGGCGCAAGCTACCGCCCAATAAAATGCGTATACCATGTAGGTTTCCCTGCCCACAGCCTGGACGCCCCGGGTTCTCGTCCGTGCGGTCCACCCCGGAAGAAGACGTAACAACAAGGAAGGGTTTCTTACGTCTTCTTTATTCCTCGTCTCGACCCCGAATGCCCCTCCCAGCTGCGCCCTGCCGTCGGGCGCGTTGCCCTCTGCCGCCGCAGTCAATGTGGCGGCAGCCACCACAACCAATGCATCTAATATTCCCTCCATAACACGTATATTAATGGCAGTGCTTGGGCGCTGCCCCAAGGGTAACGAGTTTCCCTGCATGCCCCTTGTAATATGATATTATATGCTCATTAACCTAAATCAATATATGCATTTCAGACACGTTTTTTTGGCTTCTAACTTTCTTGGTTCTGAATATGTAATTAACGTTTTGTTGCTTCTCTTTCATTGTAGTAGTTTCCTGCAAAACTTTATGTCGCGTAAACTAATCAGGTTTGCGTAATTTATTTTGAACTAATATAAAATACAAAATGTTGCACCTTCCAGATCATGAAAGTGTTATCTGTCCAAAGAATGTATATGCTTTATCTCCGTTTCTCATATAAGGAAGAATTGTTTTTGGTGTTTTGCTTGTTAATCATACCGATAATATGTTTGTTCCTTAAGGCAATATTGAATAATTTAATCAGTTTAATAAAATATTTATTATTAATTTTAATCAATTGACAATAATACGTTACCAAAAGTTGTTAGAGCACCTTGGGATGGAAATCGGTTATGTTGAAAATCATACAGGGACCTTTTTCAGCCTCCTTGCGTTTTACAATCGATATAATTGTTTATTTAGTAGCCCTATAATTGTATTGATATTAGAGGCACTACTCTAAACAAAGTAAAATAATAATCGCTATTAAGCGATACCAAGGGCCCTAATCTGGACACTTGGCGAAAAAGACGGCGAGAAATCTGGCGGCTCTGATTGGCCAGCGCCAAGGTCAAGTACGGAGTTGGCCAATCACGACCGCGAGATTTCTCGCCGAATTTTTCGCCAAGTGTCCAGATTAAGGCCTCAAGTGTCTTACCCTTAATCAATTAACACACTAACTTCTTGGCGATCACTTCACTTCTAAGTCATTCGTTACTAGGGCACATACATGGAATGCCTGTAGCATTTCTCCTTCACGAAATGGAGCCGTTCTTGAGGAAGCCCGAAGGTATGGAATGGATTCAACCTTGGTGAGCCGTCACTTTTACTGTTTACGTCATAATTCTATTTGGGTAAACTCTTCTGGAAAACCGTAGATTTGATTTATTACTATAATGTTCGAATAAGTATTGTGTGATAAATACAGTCATACCCACCTCACAAATGTGATAAAGAAAAAAATAATTTAAATTTCAGTGATAAGAGATATATAATAAGATGAGTTCAGAGAATCAACAAGAAACACATATATAAACCATTGTCTGAAATCTCCCAATCGTTGAATATTATAAGCTCCCCTCTATGTCTAATTATGGGCTCCCAAGTAGCACACCACGTCGGGTTGGGGATGGGGCGGTATTGGCCTGCCGGGATATTCATACCGGCCAGTACCGGAAACGCCCCAAGGGGCGACATTGGCCGGGCTCGAATGCCGAAATCCGGCCGGTACCGGGAACGTATTGGGAAACCGGGATGCCGGGAATACGGGATGTTCCCAGTGAGCTCCCGACACAGATCCCCGGCATGGAACCGGCGGTACGATAGAAAACCATCAGTGTGCCAGCGTATTTCCGGGTCAGAGCCAGTCCAATTGCAGATTAGTCCCAGCGTTACAGATCAGTGCCAGCGTAATTGCGGGTCAGTGCCAGCATTATTGAGGATCAGTGCCAGCGTATTTGTCATTCAGTGTACCCAGCATAGAACCACTAGAATGCTAGCTGTGTCAGGCTTTAAAGCCCAGGTATGACATCCTACTGCATTACAATTTTGCACAGCTAGCTTCTCAGTAGATCAAATTCACTTAAATGTGGAAATGCTAAATTTCTCAGTCCGAACTATTTTATTAGTTTCCATAACTTTTATAGGTGCCGACCGTTTTTAATGTTTTTTTCGGATTTGATCCGAAACAAGCCAGTTTAGTATTTGTGCAATTTTAAGAAACAATACTGTGTGAACAAATAACTTTCTCCATGTATAGAGTTGTATACTTGTTGAGAAGACATGTCCCATTCATCTGTCGCCCAGATGGATATTGTGAGTAGTACAAGAAGGGAACATAAATTTTTTTTTTTACCGTGACATTCTTTATTTTGACTTGTGCATCCATATCAGCTAGCTCCTCAGCCAGTGTCTCTCATCGTCAAAGGCGGTTGGAACCACAAGAGGAGTGTCCGTTTTTTTAACTCTATTGCCCCTCTCCGCCTCCTTGCCTGTCAGCCACTCCTCCATTGCGTCCACGCTGCACCCTTGAGCGCGACTTTGTACGGTACCTGTAAAGAGAATTGTCAGATCACACAGATTAGTTGAGAGATAGGGGAAGCCAATATCTTGCATACTAGCTAAGGTGCTGTTCGCACACTGCAGTTTGTGAACGTTTCCTTTGTGTAAATATAGGTCCCTCACCTAGCCTGCAATTCAAAGGTGACAGAGAGAGAGCACCACAGAGGTGGAGATTCTGGGTTTGGCTACCACGCTAAAGTGCAGATTCTACGGAGGCATATGGCTATTTCATGCAACATCCTATTAATCTGAAGTGGGGGGCGAGACGCGGTGGGGGCGAAAGGGGGCGGGTCACAGAGATGAGCGGCTAAAAAGAGAGAAAAACTTCCCCAACTGACACTCTACAGACCAAGGCCTCTAAATGGTCTTCATTAGACTTTCAACCTGGAAACTAACAGGATAAAAAGACAAGACCAACCAAATCTTTTTTCACAGTTACTTCAAAACGCTGCTTTTGGGTATGAAGGTTCTGAGAATGCTAACACGAGAGTTATTCATAATAGAAAATGCGAGTCGAATTTAAAAAAAGAAAAACGACAGGAACATACGACTTAAATTTTGCATACTGTAAGACTTAAAGGGAAACTGAAGCTGTTCTGTATTTGAGGAACAACACCAAAATCGCTTTCATTTGGCTTCCAGGATCACGAATATCAAGTTTATTTTTCAATCTAGTGCGCGGAGGCTGCAGAAGTACAGCTGAAGCCCCTCCTTCCCGGGGCGTGACGTCATACTGGGAGTTTTCGGAATTTCTGCTCTAGCTCATACTCAGCTTCTGTCAAACCTATGCACGTGAACTCTTGCTATTTTTAAAAAGATCAGAAATAGATGTCACGACTGGCGTCAGTGTGGAAAAATACAACTGGCAAGCTTGCAATTGCGCGCGCTGCCCACACGAGCGACACATGCTTGGCGCCCCAAAGATCCTAGTACGACGTCACAACTGCTCTGAGGTTTTCCGTGTTTTCTCGCGTCTAGTTATACCTTCGGGGAAAACAAAAGCAATATTCACATTCACGGGACAAAAATACGCCAAAAATCACCTCTAACTCGTTTTTTTTTATGAAGTGTTTTAGCTTCTTTTTAATTGTCAACATGTTTCAAAGATTTTGCTTGTCTATTGAGCTCAAATAGAGATACCATCAGTTTAATAGCTAATAATGAATATGCATTACCGATGACCACCTTGCACATCATGGCGTCCTTGAACCTTGACTTTCCTTGGTAGCCCAGAAGGGAGAACTGCTCCTGGACTTGCTTTGAGAACAGGCGTCTCACCATCCCTTGCACCACCTTCTGCAGGTTCTTGCTGTCTCCTGGAGACACGAGCTGCTCCTCCTAGAAAGACAAAGTGTGTTCTCAACATGTTAATAAAGTTATTGACATGCAGATACAATTGTATGAACATGTCTCAAGTAAGAGAATGTGAATGCCCAGGTAAAGGCAGCAAGCCACACCATACACGCTTTAAAATGTTACAATATTTACTGGAAAGAGAAGAAAACATACTTGAATATATGGCAACTCAACCTGTCTTAGACGAAACCAGAAAGATTAAAATATTTCCCTTCATACTCCGCTAAATCTTATTAGTCAGTCACATTCGTTGAATCGTCTAAATTGTGCAAACGTTTTGATGGATCATCTTTGCTCATCAGCATCCACTCAGTAATTTTAATAATGCATGTGGTTCTCAAAACAGTGCATTCCCGCGCATCTTGAATTTGTTAAAACTTAGTCTGCTGACTAGTCACCCTGAAAATTTAATGCCTATTTTACGACTTGACGAAGGCTGGAATTGAAAAAGGCATAAAAAGCAGGAATTGACTAAAACCGTCTACATAGCCGCACAAAATGGCAACAGCAGCAGAGTGTGAGTAGTTTTCTTTCCATATTTTTTGTTTAGTGCTCACTCAGTGGTGGCCCTCTAGGCCAATGAACCAACTTACTCAGCTCAAACCCGCCACAAGTAATAATCGCTTGTGTGACTACCGTATGCTATGCCTGAAGACACAGCTACGCATGCACTCACACCCCCTGAATGAAGTGGCGGATGCAATGACAGTTACTCTTTCACCTTAGAAAATTTATTTGCTCTCATAGGGCGACCTTTGGTTAGGACAGGTGAACATCTCATTTTGGAAATGTACTACTTATGTAAAGTAAAGATGAAATTCATTAAAGTTTATCCGGCAACCCTTTACAAATGTGTTTGGACATACGCATATGGTGGGCACGCTCAAAAGCGATTTTGGACCAGGCTAAAAGTCATTTTCAAGCAAGTACCTTTATTTCTATAGCAGATTTCAAAAGAACAAATGAATTTATCACCTCAAATATATAGATCTCTTGACTATAGCCTCAAGGAATAAAACCAAAAGAAGCCCAAAATATACTACAGCATCTCGATCCTTCTGCCAAGCAAGCGTTAAACACAAAAAGCATGCAGGCATTTATGTGCGTGCTCCGCACACACTCACGGCGAGAGTTGATGCAGGTGCGGAATATAACTTCGAAGGATAAAACGGGCAGAGGTGTCGTGGGAAATTAGCATGATTTATGATTATTTGCAGGCCGACATACTGTAAGCACCCAGAGGCAAATGTGTTGGGCGATTTGACTTCCCCTGTTGTGAAATGTTTTACTTAAAAAAATGTCAAGAAGTGGCAGTTGAAAAAGACCTAAAATGCCGTTCAATGAGGATGCACATGAAGGAATCTTGTCTACATGACCTTCGGGTGGAAAAAATTGTTAAAAAATGAAACGACGCACAAACACTTAATTTTTGGAGGCCACCGTACAGCATTTCTCCTTTCAGTAGCCTCTATGAATTGCAGTTTAACAATTGCAAAAACTATGTCCAGGCTACTATAAACCTGACTTGCAAAACGTGCAACTGGCGTTGCACCATGTTGACACAATTCTATAGGAGGGTTCAGTTTAAGGATGTCCTTTACAATAAATAGCCTTCCATCGTGCATTGGCTGTGCGTGCACTCTGCTGTTATAAATAACAGAAGGCCCGTAATGAAGGTGGGGCATCTTACTCATTTTTAATTTGCCGCCGACTGTGCTTAAAACACAGTTTGGGTGGGCGTCCATTTGAAATATTACAGTAAACGGCTTCAGTCCACTTTTCAACCCCATTTGCATAAATATTCAGATAACCCAAGATAAACCACAAAGTAATAATCGCAGCCTTATTCCTGTCAATGCTGTGGAAAAGAGGACACATAAATACCGGCAGTGTCCTGTTGGTGAAGCTCTTCAGCTGTGCTTCTCCAGCACAAAACTGTTCTATGTTGCTGAGAGACATCAGGAACAGCTCGGGTGGCTCAGGCCTGGCCAGTTCCTGGGGTGTCGCCTGTTCCCCAGGCCTTGCCTGCTCTCCCTGGTGCTTGAAAGGCACCACGTGCCCGAGCACCTGCCCAACAGACTTGCAGTTCCCTGTTCTGCTGCTGTAGGTGCCCATTCTGGATGTGCAGGTCTCTCACGACCTTAGCAGCTGAGCATCGAAGGATGCAAGATAAGCAAGGCATAAGAAAGCATTACCCATTTTGCTGATCAACATTATGCACTGATGATGGGAAGAAACTTTTCCAGAAACTTGGGTTTCGGAAAGTTTCAGAAGAATGCCCGAACCTTCACGTGTTTCGGATGGGTTTGGGTAGCTTTGGAACGGTTGCCAGACACAGCTAGAGTGGTTAAAATTTTTGTAAAAATTTAAGACATAATTTGTACACAATATTCAT